CCTTCCCCCCCCCCCGCTCCCCCGGCATGGGGAGGGGCATGGGGGGGCTGAAAAGAGAAACCAAAAGTTTCCCCCGTGCAAGCACCACCCAGCAACAACCAAAGCATCAATGGGCCATCAATGCTTCTCTCATACCAAACCCAAAACACAGCACACCCCCCAAGCTACTGGGAAGAAAGTTAACTCTGTCCCAGCTGGAACCAGGACACTTGTAAACACTGATACTTCTGCACTGATACTGCCTGTGTCAATCCTGTGCCACACTGCTTCAGCCTTGCCTTGTTCTGTATTGCCTGGCTATTCTGGGGCTGGAATGGGCCGTGCTCCCTCTGTCGCCACCAAAGAGATGCCGTGCGTGAAGCTTCTGAGATTCACTGAGGGCATACAACGCAGGTGTTGTGTTGTGAGCAGATTCCAGCATTCAGAGGGTTCATGTAGTGTTGATATTCTAGAAGATTCAAGTGGCGCTTGTAACAGTTCTGCGGGGAAAGTCAAGTACTTTGGCCATTAAGAGCTGGGCTAGCTTTAGATGCAATCAAACTGTAAATTTGTATGCTATTAGATGGGTTTTGTTTAATAGTATAATTTGGTTACAAGGCAGGTAATACTGTGTATGAAGGCTGACCTTGCAGTTTCTACTGACCGGTGTTGAGGTGGGATGGAGGAGGAAGGATTTAAATATTCTCTCCACTTACCTCTATGATGAGCGTGTACTGAATAAAGGTGGTCAGTATTTTACCTAGAACGCAGCTATTCCTTTAATATGACCAGGTAAAGATGTGGTATCTGTATTGACAGGAGGGAGAAGGTTGCTATCTTCTCTTTTGGCTGTTAGTAAATAATCTTTTTATTGCAGTTGCATTGCACAGTGGACTTAGAGCAGCTTAATAGGCAGCAGCACTAAGCTTGTGTTGCCAGAAAAATGTTTAACTTGAAAGCTTTTTATTAGATAACACAGCAGTTACAACAACCTTAGGATGCTTGTTAAAAGAATACTCAAAAGTTAAAACTAGTCACAATAACACTGAAAAGTTGCTAAAGGTCACTTGGCTTCTCCAGAAAGCAGCTTATCTACTACTGTCAAAGCCGTACTACTCTTGAATTAGGACAAAATAAACTTCCCTACAACTTATGAAGAGCAAGCTGTGTTATTATTGGAACATTTGAAGTCCCCAAACTATCTCATTGTGTAGTCAACCTGTAGCTCTTATGCCTTGGGTGTCTATGTCCAAGCAAGCTGAACTCTAGTTTATCATCTGTAGAACATGTGGACCATAAGCAAAGAAAGCCTTTCAGCAACAACTTCTGGAGTTCAGATGCTACCTGTTGTGTTTTCTCCCAGTTTTTCCATACTCCCCTGGCAGGGAGCTCCGTTCTCTTCCACTCTTGCCTCTCTGGTGACTAAGAACTAAAAAGCTTGCAATCCTCTTCTCGTTTGGAATCTCTGGGGTAATGGCTGAATTCACTGTGCCCAACATAAATATGTGTTTGTGGTGTACAGGGAGAATCTCTGAAAAGTAGGAGTTATCACATCCCATTTCTGTACTAAGAAGTGGATGAGGGAGCTGATGTATGATATAATATAGAAGATTACCAGAGGAAAATACCTGTCTTCACTTACCAGTGTTTATCTCAGAATGAATGCTTAAAGATGATTAATTTGCATGACTGTACCAAATGTGTGTGGCAAACAGGTGTGAGTAAAATACTCCGCATGGAAAAATACTACTGCTCAGATGTTTGAAAGTGCTGTCCTGAGGGCGCTTCTTGATTGTTGGCATGTTCTTGTATGCACTAGTCAATGAGAACTTAGTTTGACTTATTGCTTTTCAGAACATCCAGTCATGACAAGGGGGAAAAATCTTCACAATCAGTGTAGCCCAGGGCAGGTTGCCCAGACTGGTCATGCAATTATCAACCTCAAAATGCAGGGCACATAAACCGGATTGCTTGGAGCAAACTGCTTTAAGGGAGAGGTTTGAACCGGACAACATCCAAAGATCCTTTCTAGGCTAAATAATCCTATGGTGTGTTTGTAGGTTGACAATCTCTTAGTCCCTAGTTAATTTTGTTTAGGGCAGCTAGTTATCCTGAAGGTTTTTCCAATATAGTGCTCTGTAACTTCTACTGTAGGCCTTATATTTCCATCCAGTAGAACTTGATGGTGTGGCAGTTCCAGTATCTTTCTGGAGTAATCATGTCCAGGCAAATTTGAGACTCCTGATAGGCCTGTTGCTTCTGGCATAATGGGCACTGCTGTACATCAAGGCTGTTACAGCCACTTTCCATAGCGGTGTTTCCTGAATGGCCTGCTGTTCTCCTTACAGCACTCTGCCGGCATATGAACAGCTGGGGCCCTTAGCTGTCCTGCTGCGAGGACACAAGTGTCGCTATCCTTGCATCTCCCTTTAGCTATCATGTGTCTGGAATACACATCTAGTTTTTTTCTGTGTGGGAATCCTGACTGGTGACACATCTCTTTGTATCGGTTACTTCTGCTTTGACCCCAACGTGCTGTTCTTAGAGCTGTGCTAACCAGAGTGTTGCAGCTGATGCTTGTGTTTCTGTCACAACTACTGTGTCCAGCTACTCTTAAAAAAGCAGTATCATTTTTAAGAGGTCTCCAGCAATTAATTACTCAGTTTGCATGACACAAACAAAGGCTTGTTAATTAGTACTTGTTTATTGAAGCTCACTCTTTTGTGGCTTTGTAACATCAGGAGAAGAATAGGAACTGAGAATTTCTTGCAGTAAAGCAGGATTTTGTTTGGTTTTTTTTTCCAAAAGCAAATAGATTTGCAGCATCAAAAGGCAGGAAGAGTATAAAATAAATGCTAATGCCATGTCATAAGACTTTCTGCTGGAAGGTTTTGCAACTTGTTCCTCCCAGAATTTACTGTGTAGCTCTGCTTTTTTCTTGGCCTATGTAGAGAAGAGATTAAAAGTCATCTTTCTAAGCAGATCTAAGGTATAGCTGTGCTTCCAGATTGAAACTAAGCTGCATCAACATTAAAGACATTTTAGAAAAGTGTGAAGCCTTATAACAAGAACAATAAAAACCACTTAATTTCGTGTTGTTTGAGAAAGTAGATTTTTTTCTTTGGAAACTGCTCTAGATAGCAGTCATGTGGGATGGGCTTACAAAGAAGAACAGCTTGTTCAGCTAGTAGCTGCTTTGAGAAACCTTTGGCACTGTTACTAATGGTACTGTTGTCACAAATAGAACGTATTTGTTCTAATACCTCGTTCCTACTCATACTTTAGACATCAGTGACACGGTTTGCTTGCCAGTGCATTGAAATGGCCCATTCTTCAGGCTTGCTGGGCAGCGTTTTAATGTGGTCTTTCAGTGCTAGTGAGATGCTTTACCTACATGATACCATGATGTCACCAATGTCATGGATGGTGATTGTGTTTCTTCCTCTGCAGATCTGATTGGTTACCTGGCACTTCATCTGTGGCAAGCAGGACAATGGCTGCCAGCAAGAGCAAGAACCAGAGTTCCTTGGCCCTCCATAAAGTAATTATGGTTGGCAGTGGAGGTGTGGGCAAATCTGCACTCACTCTTCAATTTATGTATGATGAGGTAAGTAATTTTTTGGTTCAGCTTCTCGAAAGCACCAATGGATACAGCTTACTAAATTTTTTTAGTGGGACAGGGGAACTAAATGTAAGTAGCAAAAGACTTGATGACCTGACTGGCAGGAGAAGAATGTAGGAATCTGGAAAGGGTGCCTTCTGGGAACATCTTTGGCTAAGGGTGACAAAATTAAAGCTTATTAGTGAAAGAACAGTCTTCAAAAGACATGCAAAATGTAAATGTGCTTCTCTGAGTGTACAGAGGCTGTTACCAGTTGGCATTGAACTTCAATTTTGTTGCAGTTTCTTTTTAGGCCAGTTAAGGTTGAAGTCAGAAGTAAGCATTCTAGCTCATTCTGAGCTGGATGGTGAAGTAGGCATGTTCATAGCATGAATTCTTCCATACTGGTTTACAGGAAGCTAGAGCAGACAATCCAGACCAGTATGTGAAGGAATACATGATCCTGTAGCTCAGAAGTTAGTATTTATCTATAGGCTGTCCACACATGCTATAGTGATGTGAATATCTGAACAGGTGGCATAGGCGTTAGTGAAGGACAGTCAGCTTAATCAGACTCATGGCACAGCCTTTTGTTGTACTTTGAGGCTGAGAGAAAGGAGGCGGAAAAGTAAGGAGCTTATGTAGGACGTGTGCTGTCAGCACAGAACTGCAAGTTGAACTGGCAGTGGCTTTGTGGGTCTGATCGATATTGAATGGACTAAAGTACGTGCCTGTGTAATTATGGAGCAGGTTTTCATGTTCAACAGCTGGATGCTGTCATCTACACCTATTGAAGCTTCAGATAGCTGTACCTGAAGTACACTCAAATGCTTTTTCTTGAAGTGGGAGATATAGATAATGCCACCAGGTTGCTGGTAGTTTATACTGTGTCTTTGTCCCTTAAATTGTGCTGAAATTGCTGAAGAGTGTTTCATGTAGCAAGACCGTTTCTCTTGACTAGGCAGATTGGCTCTTTGATGTATTAAGTGCTTAAATAATTTGCTTTTTATAGCAAAACTAAAGAGTGGTGGAACTTAGTAGCTGACTGAATTATGACAAGATTTTTGGGAATTTAAATGTCACTAAGTGAAAGAGAATGGATATATACAAATACTGAGACAATGTGACAGTAATTCTAAACACTAATCCCTGTCTTATTTCAGTTTGTAGAAGACTATGAACCTACCAAGGCTGACAGCTACAGAAAGAAAGTAGTTCTGGATGGTGAAGAAGTTCAGATAGACATTCTGGACACAGCAGGACAGGAGGATTATGCTGCTATCAGAGATAACTATTTCCGCAGTGGGGAAGGGTTTCTTCTAGTCTTCTCAATAACAGAGCATGAATCCTTTACAGCAACAGCAGAGTTTCGGTAAGTAGTTTCTCTCCCAGGCAGGGGGAAATACCTGGTTCCTATGTTGCTCTGGCAACTCTTCTTAGGATAAAGAGCTATAGCTTTTTTTATCTATTACCATTTGGTCAATAAAATGGCAACCCAACCATTTTGCTCTCAGTAACTGGTAAGTTAAACCACGGTATCCAGCCTCTGGCTCTAGTTGTCTTCATGCCTTCAACTTATGAGTACATTATGCCAGCAGCAACTTCAGGCAAGTAACAGATTCTTGGACTCCTAAAACATGCGTATTCAAGCCAATTTTCAGTCTTTGTGGATGTGAAGTTTAATTATCTTAGAGCAGTTCTTCTGGAATTAAGTCTGCCTTTTGGCCAGGTTTCAGACACTGTATTGCTTACTGCTAGAAGCAGGTGCTCTAAGGAAGGGAAGGATTAGCCTCCACTCTCAGGTATGGATTGGTGCCAAACAAGGGTTGGCAGCCAAGCAGTACTATTGTAGGCAGATGTATTCCTAGAAAGACACACAGTAGTAGTAAGTGCTTCCATTTTTGTTCTTGAGATTAGCAGTACTAATGTAAAAATCAGCACCAGACTGTGCACAGAAACTGCTTGTGTAGTGTAAAAAAAAAAACCAAACCAAAACAAAAAAAACAAAACAAAAAAACCCCAAAAAACCCCAAAAAACCCAAGAAAACACCAAGGGGTTTAATCTATTGTTCTGGTCTCAGAACTCATGTAGCCAGGTTCTTCAGGGCAAGTGTTCTAACTCTTATTTGATAATAGCTGTTGCCTCAGTGTAGAAGGTAATCCAGAGATTCCCTAGGACAACTGTACAACTTGAAGTAAAACTTGCCAAAACCTAGGGAAACTGTTAGAAGTTACTTATGTTTGCCAGAATAAAAGCTCTTTATCAGTCTGGCTTATGTTCACTTTGCTTCATTGGTACGAGGTTAACAGATACTAATTGGTAATGCAAGTGCTAGTACTAAGATAGACACCTATTTCTAGGGTTTTCTTAAAGCTGTGGCAAACTCCCCTTGTACTCTAGGACTTTGGTCGAGGTTCTTAATGTGTTACACTGTTCCAAGAGTAGTAGGAGACTGCACAATTTTCTAAGAGGTATTAAAAAATATTGTTCCTTTGTCACATAATACTTCTCTGACTTTGCTAGACTTCAGAAGGCTGACAGTTGTGGGGCACACAAGTGGAGCTGTTCTGCTCAGCTTGCTCTAACTGGAGCACTTAAAGGAGCTAAACAGCTGAACTGTTGTAGGACTGCAAAACTGAGTACTTCTACTGTTCCTAGTAGAAGATGGAGGAAAAAGTCAGATACCATTCAAAAAACAGGAAGAAAATGAGACACTTGGAAGTACCCAGCCTGGGTTTTGGCTTGTGTGCTTAAGTGACATATAAGGTTAAACCCAAGGCTTAAGGCTTTGGATGAAAAGGAGTAGGAGTGTTTATCTTGGCAGTTTAGGTTTTTTGTCAGACTTCTGTAACTAGCTTAACTGTGTGTTGGTTCAAGATTCCAGCACGACAAAACAATGAAAAAGCAATACTACCCTTAAAGACGAGCAAGAAGGACCTAAAAGCTTTGAGATGGAGAATCTCCTACTTTTCAATAGGTCAGAAGTGAACAAATAGTGAAATTAGTTAAATGTAGTATTTAGTTAGGCTGACATGTAAGAACCAGCTCCTTGGAAAACTCTTCCGAGGAAGGAGTGGGGAATGGGTAGTATGAGTCACCAGCATCACGGGATAAACTACAGATTGCTGTTATTGATCCTGTAACTTCCAGAATTCTTAAACTATGAAAAAATTGAATACTGAATGAACTTATCTTTAAACCCTGGCTCTCCTGCTGATGCTATGCATTCAGTGTTTGCTTTAAGTGCCTCTGTAATCTGAAAATGTGTGAAGGTACAGTTGAATGCAACAGCAGAATGTCTGCTTCAGTGTTAACGCTATTTTAGATTTTCATGTACTCTACATTCAGTTATTTTGTGGATGGAAAGTGCAAGCATCTGAAGTAATGTGGTAACTCAGTGGGATGAGAGGTTGTAGCACCATGCTCATGCCTAGTTTGGCTCTTGTTCATAACAAAATGAAGCAATCTAAAAATAATTGTAGACTGGTACAGTTCTTCCAGAGTCCTAGATGGACAGCAGCATGTGTCAGTCTGGTTCCAGTCCATGTTTTACTCCAATAATAGCACAGACTTTGAGATTGACCTGCAGCATCTCTCCGACTCCTTTCCCAGATGCTGATAGGTCCTTTTAGAATGACAAAGGATAGCTAGGTTAATGCTGATGGTCCAAATATTTTCTGGAGTCTTTGAAGGAGGAAGGTGGCTAACATTTTAGTTCAGCAGTATTTAGTAACTCTCTCCTTTGTGTAGAGTTTAGTAGCCATTAATAACGATCTCTGCCAGCTACTTATGCTGTTCCCAACCTACTGCCTTGCCAAAGCCTTGATGTTGCCCAGACCTACATTGATGTGGGATGTAGATTGGAAATTGAAGATGGTGACTGAATGTCAAGGTGAAACTTGGCAAATGTGGCACTTCTACTTTTTTCCTTATTCAGATGTGAACTCCTTGTTGTGAGTTGCTCTTCTGCCATACAGTTCTTTATTAGAGCCTGGATAGTAAACTTACTAACTAAATGGTAAAACTGCCTTCCTGGAAGAGTGAGGTTTTTATTAGTGTAAAGCCCATAGCATTAGTATGTTAAACTTGGAATAATTTTAAAGTGTGTGTTCAACTGTTGGGAAATGTACTGTTAAGTACTGTTGTAAACACTAGTAATGTGCAGACTACTTGATCCACTCCTGATAAGGGTGGGGTTTTTGTTGCTATTACTAACACAGATGTTTTTATTTTGAATACCTGATGCATTAGGGAACAGATCCTGCGTGTGAAGGCTGAAGAGGATAAAATCCCTTTACTGGTAGTGGGAAACAAATCTGACTTGGAAGAGCGCAGACAAGTGCCTGTAGAAGAGGCTAGAAGTAAGGCAGAGGAGTGGGGCGTGCAGTACGTAGAAACCTCTGCCAAAACTAGAGCGAATGTAGATAAGGTAAGACAAATGACATCTGCTCAATTAGATCATTACTACTTGTTTGGTAGCTGAGTGACTAATTCTTGACTCTTAATGGGACAAATCCACAGTTGGGCTTCTGAAAGCCTAGGTTATCAAAAATAAATGAACTTACTGGAATCTGTACACTTAAGCAAATACCTAGCTTAGAGGAGCTGGAGACTCGGTACAAGTTAATGCTATTGTCTTGTTTTAACTGTTTGTACATGAATAGTTTTCCATAGTACATTGGGTATGGGGTTTTAAGGATTCCCTGAAGTATGTTATTTTGTTTATAGGCTGTGTGCTGTTGTTATAACAGCAATAAATAGCAAGCTATAGACACTTATAAATTGATCCCCCTTCCCTACAAAGCTACATATGGTGTGGCTGATGTTAAAGATTTCATTTTTGTTTTCTGCCAAGACTGCTTTGACTTGTGAGAAGAACTCTTCTTGCTGCGTCCCTGTCCCATTTTGCCTTGTCCATGCTGGTCTAGGACAGTCATTCTCAGCATGTTTCTGTTGCTGGCTTCTTGCATCAACAGTGGTGGTAATGGGTTATTCTGGAAGAGAGATGAGTTATGACTATGGAGTGTTTGCCCAGTAGGGAAAAATCAGTTTCAAGCTTCATTCTGCGTGTCGTGGGCGTTTCTTGAAGAAGAGGGTGCCTTTTTACTTCACCAATCCACAGAAGGTGGTCTGAAATTACTGTTGGTCCCCCTAAGGACTCCAAAGGTGTGGCTTGGTAATTTGCATTTGTTTAAAGATTACAAATTGTAAGCAGTTTTTTCTTTGGAAAAAGAACACTTGTAGCTAGTTGTACTCCAAGTTCTTGTAAACACCTTTCTGTTCTTCTAGTCTCTATTAGTTTACTAATGAAAATGCTGTTTGTGCGTAAGTTACCTAGTAGGAACTCTTTCTCTCATTCTTGGTTAAAACAGTGTATATGAAACTCTTCACTTGAGACCTTTTGGTTATAAAGGACGTAATTTACGTAATTTAAATTTGGTAAAGAAACATTCTGACTTGCAGAATGTTACTAGAAAGTCAAACTGTCAGATGTATAAACTGGGAGATGTAGTAAAACATGAATACCTTGCTTTTGCCTATGAGCTGTCTCATGTGACTAGCAAATGCCTAGTCTGTTTTATACTTAGACTAGCTTTTTGATCAGTTGGGATTAACAGCAATGTAGCTGTGTCTGGAGTGTACTAACATGGTGTTCTAGACTTGCTCTCGTAGGTCTTCTCTAGCTAGCTCATGTGACATACTGGTTATCCTCTATATAAGCACTGTTCTGTGTATGTTAAGACAAGTTATCAGCCATTGTGGTGGTTGTGTGTTGACACTAGCAGAATGAAAAAACCTAACCTTAATAAGAGGTTTTTGAATGATAAACTATTCTATTTCTGATCAGTAGTGTGGTCCTGTTTCCAAGTATCAGAGACCTGTGTAGTTTCCCATTTAAAAAAAAAAAGCCTAACTCTACAGAGTGACATTAAGCTCTTGTTCTGTAATCCTAAAAATCATTTTTCCCAATAGTTCTCCACAGTAGAAACAGCTTTTGCATCTTAAGTGGTATATACCTAGACATCAGATGTACAGGGGTGAAATCAGCTAGAATTTTGGAGAAAACATCAGAGTAATGACTTTCTCTGAATCTTTTATAACATAGTCTGAGAATTTTCTGCACCTCACACTGTCACTTGAATGCTGCAGCTTTTTAATTATAAAACAGGCAGAATACTATCCAGCAGAAAGTGTTCTTGTTAACTACATGGAAAGGACTGGACTAAATGCTTTTTATAGTTAACAAGTGATTTGCCTGGAAGTGTTTGCTAGGCACAGACAAACGTTCTCATGAACTCCGAATGCTAGTTTTGTGCAAGACTGATACTCAATAAAAAGCTCTTAAAATGGGGCTGTTGAATGATTTGGTAGCCAGGTAAGATTGTCCTACTTCTTGCCACTGCTTGACGTGCTACATAATTCTGATGTTGTTTGTCACTGGGATCTATGTCTAGACTCACTTCTGCTGTATTAGGTACAGTGTGGTGCTACATCTTTATTTGCTGCTGAATGCAGTTTTTATCTGCTTTCTGGTCGCAGATCTTGTTTAATCTTTCTTTATTTTTCCCTCCTAGGTATTCTTTGATTTAATGAGAGAAATCAGAGCAAAGAAAATGTCAGAAAACAAAGACAAGAATGGCAAGAAAAGTGGCAAGAACAAGAAAAGCTTTAAAGAAAGATGTTGCTTACTGTGATGCTTGGGAACTGTAAATATCTATCTACAGGTGGCATGGATAAGATACCACTAAGGATATAGGGCTGGATTCATGAAAGGAAGTCTGTATTGACTCCCTTATCTTTTGCTTTGCATATCACACCTTCAAAATGTGAAAACAGAACTTTGAAACCATTTCTGGTATCCAACAAAACCTATGCCTACTTAAACTGAAATGGGCTCCGTCTTCCCAGTGTCTTTCAAAACTAGAAACAGTTTCAGAACTACAATCCTTCTGCTTGGTTATACAAAGTACTTTCATATTAACTTCCTAGTTTACTCTAATGTCTCTCTGAATATGTTTCTCTTGAACCTCTACTGGCCTTAACAAGCACAGCTGTTCAGGTTCAAACATTTTTTCCACTGTTGCTGCCTTCCTTGATGTTGCAAACTGCAGAAAAGCTAGATGACATCTGGTAAAGGGTTTGAGTCTCCATCTTCTGTTAGTTGTCACTGATATTTCTTACACTGAAATCTGCTGGCTTCCTCCCCACACTCCATGTAAGAAATAGCAACTGACACTTGAGAGTCAACTCAAAACAAACTTTCTTCCATGTTCTGTTTAGTCAATACAGCATTCATGAATCAAGCCTGTGGACTCAATTCAGACTTATTTAGGCAATGCAAAAATTGATATTTAAATACTGGCTAGATGCATTCCCCACTGGTCTGTCTTCTCATCCTTAAATTGGTGGTATGGGGTGAGAAAATGACTGTAAGCCTTTCTTCAAAAGGAATAATATTATCATCATCATCTCCTTGAAATGCTGTCCTGGGTTACTTCTATGTATTGTGGCTAGACTCAATTACACTCACTCTACATCATCATCCTTCTCACCCTGGTACTGGAATAGTGAAAATCGAAGTGTTGATTTCATCGGGTTTTTTTATATTGGAACACTTGTGATCATGTTGGAAAAGTGGGAACATCTGCATCTGTCTCTTGTCTTGCTGAAGATGAAAACTTTGAGTAAGGATGGGTCACATCACACAATCATGACTTGGAATAGGTGAGGCGTACATGCTACCTCTCAATGATTAGCTGGCTAGTGAGTTGTATGGTGTCAAAAAGCAAATGAAGTTAAGCAGTTGCCATGTCTGTTACTCACTGTTAATTTTATGTACTGTTTCTGATGCACAGCAACCTAGCACATGGAGATACATGCTGAGTTTTGCTGTCAGTTATGCCATGGTGGTCACATATTGATCAACAAAAACCAGCCTAGAAGTGGAAGAAAAGTCGGTACTTTGCAGCTGACTGAACTGAGCTTTCTGATGCAGTTTAAATTTAGTGCAGTTGCCAAAAAATACTTCTGTCACTGTTGTGGAAAGTAACTGTCTCTTCTGATTATGGAGTCTCTTAATGAATTATGGCTATCTTCTGTTTTGAAGGAGTAGAGAGACTTAAAGTAGAGACTGTATCTTGCTTGTTAACCAGATGCTTAAAACACACTTACTTGCTGAAAGGAATATGCTATGTGGCTGTTCAATGAAGCACACTGCAGCACTAAATTAACAAGCGAAGGAATAGCAAATACTGTTCAGTACTCAGTATTGTAACTTGAGGTTGAAAAACATTTTTTAACATGTACTAGATTGCTCTTGTGCATTCCACTGCTGAACTTTGAAAAAAGTAAGATGTGTTAGATGTCAGAACCTCTGTTGGTCTGAGGTTTCACAGGGACTTATCGTAAACTCATTGTCTTCCGTAACTAGTTCAACTTGTCAGGCAACTCATTGGATTGGGGAAACTGTACTGAATAAAAGGTGCTGTAATCTTCATTCTTGTCAAGGTAAATTCCTTCTTTGTTAATGTTATGTATGCGCACAAAGAATGGTTCACCAATTCTGGAAATATTCATCTTTGAACAGTGTAATTAATTGGTGTTACAAAGCCAACTTGACAATACAGTTTTGAAGGAGAGGCTGGGAGCCTGCTGGCATACAGAACTTGTCATCTGAGCTGTATCACCTAGGTCTAAAGCCTAAGCACCTAATGGGGCACTTGGAGCTGTAACACTTTGCTAACAGTTTCCTCTTCAGCTTCCATGGATAAAGTCCATTTTTGAGTGCACATTAGGCATACAGCAAATGATTGTGTGCTTCTGGAGGAAGGCAACTCACTTAGGTTTGGTTTTAGTTGAGACCTAAAGGTTAAGTCCTTAATTAACCTAAAGGATAAACAACAATTGAGTTCACATTACAAGCTTATGTAGGTCAAGCCTCTCTGAGGTGGATTGTGAAATGTGTCTAACAAAACTGAATAAGCTTTCCTTGCTATATGAATAATGAACTCGGCAAAGCTCACAATGAGCAGCTCAGCTGTATTGGCTCAAGAGACTTGCATGCTTTGACCTTTGATCTCTTTAGTCTTAAAGTACCTGACAGTATTTGATAGGACGGATTAATTTCTACTCAGAACAGTGAGTCTGCTGCTGGTGTTCTTACAGTCCATGTGCTGTTCTCACTCAGGTTATATATATATATTTTTTTTTTCCAACTGATAAAGCTCCACCAGTGAGGTGGACTTACTTGGAAGAAGGTGCTTGCTGTTTCATGGCTTGATACTGCATCTCTTTAGTGTTCTGTGCTTGTTACCTTTTCCAGAAAGACTAGGCCTGGAGACCAAATACAGCGGCTTTTCAGTATTCCTCTTCTGTATGTGTGGCAAACTTCAGTTTAACTTTCCAGTTACAGCTGAAAACATGATAGCCAAGGTAACTGCCTTGTTTACTTCATAACAGTGGGCAACAAGCATTCTGACTTCTACCAGGAAGGCAATAAAACTGTTCCCCAGACTGGAATCCAGTTGCCTCCACCTCATGGTGGAAGTGCCTGAAGGCATGCCCTTCTAACTAGTGGCAATGCAATTTGAGGGTCCTTGAATGACTTCCAGGTGTGCTTCAGGGGACATCAATGGACATCAACATCAGGTGGGTTGACTAGAGGGGACAAAAAATGGCACAGAGAAATACGTCCTTTGGACTTGAGGGTTTCCTGTGAGCAGAGTAAAGGGAGCTTTGGCTTCTATCTAAATGACTTGCAGATCAGGTACATCAAACAAGGAGGACTTTGGCAAGAGGGGGGGTGTGTGGCTGCCTGCTAGCCATGCTGTGTAGCTGAGGCAACTGAAGGCTGAGTTGAAGCTGATACATTCTAGCAGCCTTTGCGTGTTAGGTAATTAAATACCAAAACTTCTCTTTATCAATATAATGTGCTCTTAAATCTTCCTGGAGCATGGCTGAAGGAAAGTAACTGGGTATTTGAAGCTAGAGGTCATGCAAGACTTGACTATGCACTTGCACTTAAGCATTCAAATATTATTCATGCATAATGGCTTAACATAGTCAGGGAGCTGTTTCCTGCAGTATGCAGTCTTCTGTATGTGGCTTAGCTGTGGGTGTTCAAGTGCTCCAGTCTTCCTTCTGGTTTGAGAAAACATGTGAGACAAGCCCCCATTATAACAGGGGCTAAGTCATTACGTGAAAATCCACTTCAAAAAGCAGGTTAAACTCCAGGAGTGCAAAGGCAGACTTGACTCCTCATTTTTTAGAGGAGCATCTCTCCAGGTGAGAGTACAGATGCAGCATGAAGCACATCTTCAATGACTTGTGCCGTATGTATTCTATACAGACTAATACGCCTTTACTGCAATTTTTAGGTGAATGCTTGGCTTGATGAAGAGAAAGATGTATGCATATATTTACGGAGCATTAAACTTCAGTAAGATGTTAGCAGCCAGCTGAAGTTCCAGTTGAATCCTATCTGGCTAATATAATGTTTAAGAATACTTTAGGTCTAAAGCACAAATCTACAATCTGGAATGTAGTAAGAGGTGGGGGGGAAATGCATCTAACTAAATGCTCACTAAGATCTTTTTTTTTTTAAAGCATTAACCCAGTACTTGGGGCTGACAGGTCTATCAAATCTTGCTCAAAAAGAGGATACTGTTTATTAATTCAACTCAGAGCTTATGTAGACAGAAGCTTTCTTTAATTGCTATAAGCATATGTTGCAATGTTCACCTCTTGTTGACTTTATAGTTGAGAGAAGGAGGGAAGAGGAACAAAAAAGCTATGATTTTCACTGTATTCTCCACACTTCATGGGAATGGCAGGTGTTCCTCCTGGGAGGGGAGGGTGTTATCTCCAACACCAAGTAAGAGGTTTAGCATAGAGGAAGTGATTGTGATTGCAAGATTTAATAAAACTGCCTCTAAACTATGTACGCTATACTATACAATGTAAATTCTTATTTTTTTCTTACATAGCTTCAGAGCTTTGTCTCTAACTTGCACAAACATTTTTAATGTCTATAAAACTAGTCACTTTTCATTATCATGCTAATACAACTGATTTGTATTACTATTGATAATAAAAAGAAAAACAGGCATAATTTGTTTGTTATTGATTTTTACAGCATTCTAAAAGCATCTCTAATCCCCAAATTCTTGAACCAGGCAACTGCTGACTTTGAATGTCTGGAACTGACCTTTGTATCAAATCAGTAATATGATTATATTACAGACTGTGGGAAGGGAGGGGAGGAGGAGGTTACAGAGGACCCTATCATCGGTTTTCCTGAAATGGTCCGCATTTGTTTCAGGACTGAACTGGTACAGTAGTTTGATTAATTCATAGTTAATTTTTCACAACCTAATTGGATCAGACAGCTTGTATCAACTGTGTAAATGATGGAGCTTCTTTCCTCTTTCTTCAGTCAGTCTTGTGGCTCAAATAACAGAATAAGCAACATTGTGTTGAAATATTGATCCTTAGTCTCCCGAGTGTACCAGAGCCCATTCTCCGTGTTGGTTTGCGATGAACAAACTGCAGCAGAGAAACCGAGATGCCTCCAAGGCAGGATGGCTTGGGACAGGCTCACTGCACCGTTATGCCACAGTGGCATAGAAATGGTATTCACAGTAAACCTTGGGTGCAGGCACCTTACTGCCGCTGCCATACAAGTTGGAAGCGGAACATCCCCTAGCTGATGACTTCTGGCCAAGGATTACAGCAATTTACATAATCTTGTTTACATGGTGCTTGCCTGGTGTTTGCCCTGTGTTTCAGATTGCCATGGTAGCTTTCCTTTCCAGTGAAGTAATTTTTTAAATATTCCGTAGCAGAGAAAGGTTAGCATGAAAAGTGTTATGTAGCAGGCAGGAGAGGGTTCTGAGCACAGCTGTATTACATAGCTGTACCCAAAGCCCAGAATGGCACCTTTTTCTTCAAATATTCTCTGGATGCTTGTGAGGAACAGACCTTCCTTAAGTTGCAGAAGGATGAAACTGGAGAATGATTGCACGTACATAGCTTGGCTTCTACCTTCACAGTTGCCTGTGTCCTGCCCCAACCAGAACACTTAACTAGCGTGGTTTCTTCTGTGTGCTGAAAGCTCTGCGCGTTCCTGGCATGGTACAGGCACCTCTTCCTGAGAACTGTTGGCTCCATCTTGTGGCTTTACGAGTTAGAAGCTCTACCATGGAGAGGGGCTGTTTAACATGCTCAGACGAGCATAGAGGTAGCTGCTATTAATCTGCTACCTGAATTACATATAGAAATCCACGCTAACTAGATTCTTCTGGTCTCGTTGCTCTGCCATATGATTCTCCCATGCAGTAGGAGACCTTGTTCTCAATTAAA